TCAACAGGCTCTTCTTGATGCTAAGTATAAGTATCCTTTTTGTTTCCATTTCATCTAAAACTTTGACGTTGCTCACATGTTCGGTCGGCAGTATTCTCAGCATCCTTCTGTAGAACCACATTTTTGTTGCTTCGGGAAAAGGGACTATAACGTAATATCTGTGAGCACAAAATATTTTAACCATCAAGTGATTCAGTTAGAAGGGTTCAGGGGAGAAACAGATTTTTTTTAATAATCCACCTCCTGATTCTTTCATTAGGTTTAGAAATAAGCTGGCGGCTCTCAGCTTCTCTCCAAACTCTTGACCGACAGCCAGATATCATGATGTGAGTCGTCCTTTTGCACTAGGCATTCTGGTTTTGAATATAAAATTTCTCCTTCTCCTAGACCAGTTGCTACTGGAAAGATATAGGATGCAGTCTGTACTGGTATGTTACCCATAGCTGGTGGTGAGAAGGATTGGCAACGTTATCAAGGTTATAAGCATGTAAGTAAATGTAAAGAACTCGACTAGAATTCGAACTCAATCCAAGCCGCTCACCATTATTCCACTATGTCTCCAGATAGAGATTAATCTCATCTATAACATACACGGACGTATGAAATCGGTCATTATACTGGGTGTTATTCTGGGTTAAGCAAAACTATGCTCGTCTGTACTCTGGGAATTGGTAACCTGAGAGAAATGGATTGTCACTGTTCAGGAATTACAACAAAACAAATTATTCATTGTATCATATATGATGTCTATAAATTTGTGTGTGCATAGGTGCTCGAATCTTTGCTTCTGTGTCTCATATAGGTGCCGCATGTAAACAGTAAATTTCCTTCATCTAATTTCTTAGATGAAGCCTTGTCAATTATTATTCATTTCTGAGTAGTATTTCTTTCATCTTATTTCTCTTGCTTTTCCACCAAGTATTATTAGTCTTAAGTTGTCTGAATTTCTTAGATGAAGCCTTGTCAATTATTATTCATTTTTCACTAGTATTTCTTTCATCTTATTTCTCTTGCTTTTCCACCAAGTAGTAATAGTCTTAAGTTGTCTGAATTTCTAAGATAAAGTCTTGTCAATTATTATTCATTTTTGACTAGTATTTCTTTCATCTTATTTCTCTTGCTTTTCTACCAATTAGTAATAGTCTTAGGTTGTCTGAAATTCTTAGATGAAGCCTTGTCAATTATTATTCATTTTTGACTAATATTTATTTCATCTTATTTCTTTTGCTTTTCCACCAAGTAGTAATAGTCTTAAGTTGTCTGAATTTCTTAGATGAAGCCTTGGCAATTATTATTCATTTTTCACTAGCAATTCTTTCATCTTCTTTCTCTTGCTTTTCCACCAAGTAGTAATAGTCTTAAGTTGTCTGAATTTCTTAGATGAAGCCTTGGCAATTATTATTCATTTTTCACTAGCAATTCTTTCATCTTCTTTCTCTTGCTTTTCCACCATCTTATTTCTCTTGTTTTCAACCAAGTAATAGTCTTAAGTTGTCTGAATTTCTTAGATGAATTTGCCTTGTGCAATTTGCATTTGTTTGCATTTTTTTCACTATATTTATTTCTTTCATCTTATTTCTCTGGCTTTTCCTTTGAACCACGGCCCTGAAACATTGAAATGAACATAGTAATAGTCTTAAGTTGTCTGAATTTCTTAAATGAAGCCTTCAAAGCAATTTATTATTCATTTTCACTTGGCGAGCAATTCTTTCATCTTATTTCTCTTGCTTTTCCAGTTCAAATAGCTAGTAATGAGTCTTAAGTTGTCTGAATTTCTTAGATGAAATGCCTTGTCAATTATTATTCATTTTTCACTAGTATTTCTTTCATCTGATTTCTCTTGCTTTTTTCCACCAAGTAGTAATAGTCTTAAGTTGTCTGAATTTCTTAGATGAAGCCTTGCAATTATTATTCATTTTTCACTAGTATTTCTTTCATCTTATTTCTCTTGCTTTTCAACCAAGTAGTAATAGTCTTATGTTGTATGAATTTTTGGCCATCCTATATGTTTCTGTGAATTTGTGTGTGTCTGTGCGTGCATTTGCATTTGTTTGCATTTGTATTTCATATATTTTCCTCTTCTACTAGGTTAATTTTCATTGTTATCGATCTGAAAGTCATAATCTGTGCGTGAATGCTTTGAACAACGGCCCTGAAACATTGAAATGAACATTAACGGTAATTAAATTGTCTTTTCTTAGCAAAAAGCGCTAACACATTTGTGACTATTTTCTTTTCATCTTACTTGCCAACCTCAAATAGTCTTGGCCTCAAATTTGAACATGAAGCCTGACCATCAAATTTTTCAAGATTTGCATCTTATTTCTTTTTCAAGATTATCAACAAATAAAACTCAATGGCGATTGGTCATCAATGGCCATTGGCGAGCAATGGCCATTTCTCGTGTGACCAACGGAAATGTTCATGCCTCTTTGAAAGCTTGATTGTTTGAATCATTGAGGACTTAGTTCTGATACGAATAGCTTTGTTTGTTAATGAATTGTTCCTAGACAGTGATGTCAGTAGAGACAATTTAAATATTTCCAAATCTGAATTACACAGTACCAATGATAAATCATCTCCAGATTAGAAGAATATCAAAAGGATTAACATTAGTTTTTGAAGAATAACAGATTATATTTCTCTTGTTTTATAACTTTTCGCTTTTATCGTAAGTTGCGTTAAAGCCTTGGTAATAATTAATAATTTTTTTCAACACGATCTTTTTCTTTCATCTTAATAGTCTTAAATTATCTGAATTTCTTTTTTATTCACCAAGTAGCAATGGTCTTAAGTTGTCTGAATATCTTAGATGAAGCCTTGGCAATTATTATTCATTTTTTGTAGTATTTCTTTCATCTTACTTCTCTTGCTTTTCCATCAAATAGTAATAGTCTTAAGTTATCTGAATTTCTTAGATGAAGCCTTGTCAATTATTATTCATTTTTCACTAGTATTTCTTTCATCTTATTTCTCTTGCTTTTCAACCAAGTAGTAATAGTCTTAAGTTGTCTGAATTTCTTATCTGTTTCTTAGAAGCCTTGTCAATTATTATTCATTTTTCACTAGTATTTCTTTCATCTTATTTCTCTTGCTTTTCAACCAAGTAGTAATAGTCTTAAGTTGTCTGAATTTCTTAGATGAAGCCTTGTCAATTATTATTCATTTTTCACTAGTATTTCTTTCATCTTATTTCTCTTGCTTTTCAACCAAGTAGTAATAGTCTTAAATTGTCTGAATTTCTTAGGTAAAGCCTTGTCAATTATTATTCATTTGTGACTAGTATTTCTTTCATCTTATTTCTCTTGCTTTTCAACCAAGTAGTAATAGTCTTAAGTTATCTGAATTTCTTAGATGAAGCCTTGTCAATTATTATTCATTTTTCACTAGTATTTCTTTCATCTTATTTCTCTTGCTTTTCAACCAAGTAGTAATAGTCTTAAATTGTCTGAATTTCTTAGTTGTCTGAATTTCTTAGATGAAGTCTTGTCAATTATTATTCAATTTTTTCATTTTTCTAGTATTTCTTTCATCTTATTTCTCTTGCTTTTCAACCAAGTAGTAATAGTCTTAAGTTGTCTGAATTTCTTAGATGAAGCCTTGTCAATTATTATTCATTTTTCACTAGTATTTCTTTCATCTTATTTCTCTTGCTTTTCAACCAAGTAGTAATAGTCTTAAGTTGTCCGAGTTTCTCAGATGAAACATTGGCAATTATTACTAAGTTGTGACTAGTATTTCTTTTATCTTATTTCTTTTGCTTTTTACAACTAGTAGTAATAAAAGACTAAATATAGTGTCGTGTTCAAACTTGCATTACTCATGAATAGAAATTCTAGACATGTTGACATTAACTGCTTTTCTTTGTGACTTTATGTCGTGCCTCTTTAGTCGTGCATCGCCTGAGTAAACAGTCAACTTGTGCCACATTTACATATCGAGGTAGAAGTAAAGTATGGAGGTTACTTATTTGGTTTGTTCTGCGAATTATCGATCTCTATGTATTATTTATCACCGGAATCTAAATATTTGGATTGTAGTTCTTCTTTTTTTTAAGATAATAATTGTTTTAGTGATACAAGTATTAATTTGTCAAGGGTATTTTCGTTGAAGCGAATATAAAAAAAAAACCGACAGGAATTGGAGCACGGCTCTCTGATTAACAATTCTGTGTCATTGTTCATAACTCCACATGCACATCCAAGCTTAAGCAACTGGTGTTCTCAAACTGTCACCCATCTGGTAGACAGCAAGTTCGACGTTGCTTCACTTCGGTGATAGTACAAGAATCGGTGATACAGCATGACGAGACCATAGAAGCTAGCTTGGATGATTTTATTTCCTTTATTTCAGCAATTATATCTCCGTTGCAATGATTATTAAAATTATTGAAATTAAAATATTACTAAAAACAAGAAAAGGTATATAATTTCCAATAGTAAAAACAACAACAAAAAAATGGACGTATTCGACAACGACTAAACATGAAAATTGCATTTCAGTTCTAAAATTTGAACGTCCTGAGTAAGATGATATACTATATCCGCGTCCTGGGTAAGATGATAAACTACATCCGGCAGCAAAGCCTCTGATCAGGAGGTTTCGAGAAGCATGGAACCACCTCTTAATTGCTGTTATTCCCATGTCCACCCTGACCTGTGATAGTAGCACATATTAATGTCCTAGCTATAGGTAAGTAGTTAACCTCTACTGGGGGGGGGGCAAAACAGTGTGAATGTGTAAAAATAGGTTTTAATACCAGGAATACATTTTTGTAAAAATATTACCGGCAATGAATTTTTGAAAGAAAAAATTATTAGTAGCAATGCATTATTACAAGCCATACATATTTTGAAAAAAATATATATATATATTACCAGCAATACATTTTTGAAAATAAACATTAATAGCAATACATTTTTGAGAAAAATATTTCTAGCAATAAAATATCTTCTCGGCATTAATTAACCCATTGAAGTTGATATGCCGTAAAACAAGACTGAGATAGATAGATAGATAGATAGATAGATAGATAGATAGATAGATAGATAGATAGATAATGAACAGACTGGGATAGATAGATAGATAGATAGATAGATAGATAGATAGATAGATAGATAGATAGATAGATAGATATTATCAACAATAAAAATCTTATCGGCATTATAAATAACCCATTGAATTTAATATGTCGTAAAACAAAACAAACCGAACCAATATATACTGAGATAGATAGATAGATTGATAGTGATAGATAATGAACAAACTGAGATAGATAGATAGATAGATAGATAGATAGATAGATAGATAGATAGATATTACCAACAATAAAAATCTTGTCGGCATTAAATTACCCACTGAAGTTTATATGTCGTAAAATAAAACAAAAAAAAAAATAGATAAAAAAATAAAATTTGAAGGGGAATATGGATAAATTAATCAAAATCAGAAGCCAGCAGATATTGGTCTCATCTTTCGGGAAATTTATTCCACATTTATAATATTTTATATGTATAAAATTACATATATATATATATATATATATATATATATATATATATATATATAATATTTTTTATGTATTTTTTGAAGGATTGTCATAATCCTTCAAAAAATACATTTTTTGTTTCTTTTATTTGACGTTTCTTTCGGGAAATATATTTGAGATTTCATTCATTAAAATTCTTTAGACAGTTTTTTCTGGAAAATATACTTTAGATTTTAATAAGGAATATATTTGGAATTTAAATTTTGTCAACATATTTGAGGATCCTTTCAGAAAATAAAAAGTGCGACATAAATACCTCCCAGATATATGTAGAAGAAAATACATAAATCTTCAAACACAGCTCTACAAATTTAAATCAGTTTTATTATTCGCATTTATTTTAGAGATTTTGATAACAGTATTTTCCATCTTGCTGATTTAAATAATAGGTATTTTTAAGCTGAGTCAACATTTCTGAAACATGTCCTTGTACGATTCCCACTTTTGTTAACTTTAATTTTCGTTCAAGATTTTTCCTGTTACAAACAAGAAATTTGGTAGTTTTAAATATTTCTACCGAAATCATTTTTTCCTTAACGAAGGAACTTTCCAAGACGAAATCTGAAATAAATGTTTTAAACGATTTTTCTTAAAAATGGTTTTGATTGATTGAAGTTTGTGGGTCTTGACAAAGACGATGCTTCTTTGAACATTGAGGATTGGCGCTACAGAATCACAAATAAAGAACTATATCGAAGAACAGAAAGCAAAACACTTGTGGAATATCAATGGGTAGCACATATAAGACGAAGAAAAAATAATGACATAGTTGACATTCCACACGACTTGAATTTAAAGGGTTTCTGAAAGAAAACCAATCAAGACTGGAATCAGCGATAACAGTTATTGGACTTGAGAAGCCTATTATCCTGAAAAAATGTTTTAATCGAAAGATTTTATAAATTTAAATCGACACCAACACTGGCTGCTCGGTCAAAGATCACCAAATGTTACCTCTAGACAAACGGTTCATATCAGTATTACAGTTAATATTTTCCGATCTTATATCACATATATATATATATATATATTTTTTTTTTCGATTAAAGTCGAAAATATTTTTCTCGAATTAAAACTCTTATATTTCCCCGATGGAAAGTCAAATAATTTTACCAAATGACATTTCAAATATTTCCCTGAATGAAGAATTTAAGATTTTCGTGGAAGAAGTCTAGAATTTGTATTTCCGAATGAAATTTAAAATATTTTTACTCAATGAAGCACATATTTTTCACGGGAAAGAAAACTGCATCAATTCTATATGATGAAGTCTTAGTGTATATTCTGTTGAAAATTAAATATATTTTCACAAAAGATGTTTCAGAAATATTTTCCAATATATATATATATATATATATATATATACGTATACGAGGTCTGTCTGAAATGGAACGACACTACCAATTTTACCTTTAAAAAGGTAAACTTAAAGTCTAATCTAGAGTCCTGTGCAGGAGATAGCTTAATTGCCGCCCGATGGGGAGGGGTTATACTAGTATAAACTAATTTGAATGGCTATTGTGTTACTAATATAATATATATATATATATATATATATATATATATATATATATATATATATATATAATAAAAATATATGGATATAGATCCGACAGTATGAAGAAAAATAGAGAAAAAACAAACAAAAATTTTAACATGCAATTATGCTGTATTAATGTTCATATAAAGTCGACGTCAGACGTTTCGGTTTATTTATTTTATATGTTCTAATGTTAATTATGTTTAAATGAAAATGTCCATGAAGATGGTCTTAAATAGACCGAAACGTCCGACGTCGACTTTATATTAACATTAATAAAATTTTTTGATTTTTCTGTATTTTTCATATATATATATATATATATATATAGATAATATTGGAAAATATACATACATATGAAAATATATCTAAAAATTCCCATACATGTATATTTTCAGAAAAAATTTTCCAAGAGGAAGGATCCAGGTAGAACTCAATGTCTTAAGGATATAATAAAAGGCTTAAACACTAATATTCCATGGTCATAATTTATTCCATTGGATCGTAAATACGATCCAAATCATCAGACCTACAAATTCAAAATGAAAACAGAAAAAAAATATATATATATATATATATGTGTGTGTGTGTGTGTGTGTGTGTTTAGTAAATACGTAATTACATATGTATATACATACACAAATATTAAATGAAGTTTCGACAGAATAATTATTATTGGACATGTAAAAGGTATGCTTAAATATTACTGCAATATTTAAATTCAGCAATTAATTTTGAGTTCTGTAGTTTGTTGTTGCCTATCGCATACGGCAGCAGTGTGCCTCGCAAAAAGAAATCTCCACCAATAAAGGACTGGATTGCAATCAAAAGAGCCAAGGCCTGAACGAGGAAAAGAAAATCCTGTGTAAATGAAAATGAAGAGCAAATGGCAGCCAGGTGAACTTCCAATACTGAGAATATGCAAAGACTTAGGGACTCTCAAACTTCTGAACAAGCCGAAGGTCCAATTGAGAGTCCTCTGCAGGAGCTAGCTTAAATGCAACCCAATAGGTGGGGTTATACTAGTATAAACTAATTTCAATGTGTATTTTTTTACTTTACACACACACACACATATATATATATATATATATATATATATATATATATATATATATATATATATATATATATTAAAAGGTGTGCTATATTTATGGGATAAAGTGCCCAATATCAGAGATAGAGCGTTTGTAAATATAAAAGTGAACATAGAAGTCAACACTTAGAGGCGACAGTCTGTTTTATGCTATATGCATCAGGTGGCCTGACGATTGCATATAGCATGAAACAGCCTGTCGCCTGTAAGTGTTGACTTCTATGTTCATATTTTATATATATATATATATATATATATATATATATATATATATATATATATATATATAGTACATACGTAATTACATATGTATATACATACACAAATATTAAATTAAGTGGTGGCAGAAGAATTATCATTGAACATTTGAAAGGTATGCGTAAATATTAATGCAATACTTAAATGCAGCGATTAATTTTGAGTTCTTCTGTAGTTTATTGTTGCCTATCGCATACAGAAGCAGTATGCCTCGCAAAAAGAAATCTCAATAGAGGAGCAGATTGCAATCCAAAGAACCAAAGCTGCAGCAAGATAAAGAAAGTCCCGTGCAAATAAAAACATGGATCAAGAGGCAGCCAGGAGAGTTTCCAATGCAAAAAATTAGGAACTCTCAAACTCCTGAACAAGCCCAGTGCCTAATCAACAGTCCGCCGCAGGAGCTAGCGTTTTTGCTAGCAGGGCGGCTTTTAAGATAATAGATAATAAAACACAAAGTCGGCAAGTGTTGATGAAATTATTACCGGCATCCCGTCTACAATCACTTTCTCACAGACGTGCTGTGGCTTCCCTCTGTCTTTTCTACAAGTATTTTCATGGCAACTACTCCGACGAGCTACTTTCACTGGTTCCCAAACTGCATGAATTTAAACGTGCTACTAGGTTGGCATCTCGGTCCCACCCTTTCACTGTCGAAATGGATAAATGTAACCATGTATTCTACACCAACAGCATTGTATCTCGCACCTCCCGTCAGCGGAACCCATTTCCTATCATTTGCTTCCCTGATAGAGATAATCTTCAAATATTCAAATGTAATGTTTATTGACATCTTCTGATGACTTGACTTTGATCCCTGTCCTTCTCTTTATCCTTTTCCCGAACACTCCACTTTACTCTTACTCTTACTCCCTCTAACCACTTCCGTGCTTGTTGCAATCGCGCCTTCCTTGGTGAGGTTTGCTTAAAAAAAAGAAAAGTTGTTTGGAAGATCAGCAAAATTTTTTCTTTGCGAATCAGAGTAATTCGATGGATGTTGCCTCAAAGACAGAAAATTCATCGAAATTGATTACAAAAAAAAATAATGAAGAGAATTGAAAAGATCTGTCAGGTTTTGATAACATTAGGCCAAACTATTGCATAAATAATACACTTTTATTGAGTTTTCTGCATTATGAATGGGGCAGTAATTACCATTGTGCGAGGTTCTTGCTTCATATTCCTCGGTTTGTTGACATGTTTAAAATTATCTCAAAATATTAATTTCGTTTATATTTTGTCTCCATTTTATAAAGTTTTCTCTCCTCTTTCTCAAGAAAAGATAGTATTGTTATTAATAATCAAGAGTAGTCTCCCATTGTTTTGTTACTCTCCTCTTTGAGAGAGTTATTTCTGTTTATTGGGACTATAAAAGGACACGATATGTGAACCATGTATTATCAGATGAATAAATTGTAATGACAAAATCACGCAGGTGTAGGCATTAAGAAAGCTTTATTCAATCCAAGGCTCGAAATAAATGGGGCAGTAATTGCCATTCTGTAAGATTTTTGCTTTACATTCCTCCGTTTGTTTAAAATTATCTCAAAATATGAATTTCGGTTATATTTTGTTTCCATTTTATAAAGTTTTCTCTCTTCTTTCTCACAGAAAGATATTATTGCTATGAATAATCAAGAGTTGTCCCCCTTATATGTTACTCTTCTCTTTGAGAGAGCTATTTCTGTTTACTGGGACTATAAAAAGACACTATACGTGAACCTTGTATTCTCAGTTGAATACATTGTAATGACAAAAGTACACAGGTGTAGGTATTAAGAAAACTTTATTCAACCCAAAGCTCGAAATAACTGTTTAAGATTTTATTTTATGCTTGAAAGAGAGTGCAAAATAGTAGTGTTTTTCAAGGGAAAAGTGGCGGTTTCTAATTAACAAAGATCTTGAGC